ACAATCAGAACACCAAATGTTAATTCCGTTTGCACTTCCGTGTTTACTTTTATTTACTTTCACACTGACAGCATCTGTGTTTGCTGGTTCTGATTTCACACAGTGTTCCTCTCTGATCTGAGCTTGTAGTGGTGTGTAACCCGTGATGGCCATCCTCTCGGTGGAGTTTTTAAGCTCCAGGATTTTTTAGCTCTAGCTCTGATCCCACCAGAATTATTTTACCTGGGTTTTGCCTTTCCCTAAGTGGTTCTTACCTCCAAAATGTTGGTCCTCAGAAAAAACAGGAATTCTGCCTCCAGGTACTACTGCAGCACCAAGAGCCTGACTCTGCTCTGCCACATCCAGCAACCCAAGAGGGATAAAGACCTTTAGGGTTTAGAGGAATAAAGCCCTTTAGGGTTTAGAGGAACTTGCCCAGGGGAAGGGCTGAGCAGCAGGGGCCAAAGGGAGAGGGAGCAGCAGCCCACTGTGTTTACAGGTGCTTCAGCAGAAATTGTCTTTCCAGGGAATGGCACTTCACTGCCTGCAGGTSATTGTCCTTGAGGATTCTGGAACAATGCAGACTTCGTTACACCAGCTGCTTGCCAGGAGGAAATGGAATTTTCATGGTATATCCTGCAGCAGCTTTACTGGAATATCTCCTTGGGTCACTGCAGGGATTATCCCCACTCCTGGTTTGAGCAGGCACTTGTTCCTGGATGGTGGCACCTGACTGAGCCCTGGGGTAGCAGACACAGGGAAGATCCAGTAGGATGAGACATGACTCAGCTCATGGCATTTCCAGGAAGCCCTGGGGATTCACAAGCTCCTTGTAGAATAGCCTGGCTTTGAATTCACATGGAAATGGCTTGCATGGGTGCTAAAAAAAGAGACAAAAGGATGGGAAATACCTGAACTCCTGACAGATGCTGGAGGGCATTTACAAGGTCTCAGTCCACTGGTATTCCTTCCGTGTTTGTTTTCCAAAAGTAGAAATAGAGTTGTCACTGAAATCTGTACAAAGAAATGGTTGACATTGTCACCCCTCGGGAAAACCCTTTTTCCTACAAATTCTGCTGCTGAGGTAGGAGCAGGGTTTGTTTGGAAATGCCACAGCATGGCCAACCTGTTTTCACCCTCATGCTGCAGCATGAACCTCCCAGAACCACTGTGTCTTCATCCAGTTCCACCCCCTGCCATGGCAGGGACACCTTCCTCTAGACCAGGTTGCTCCAAGCCCCATCCAACCTCTGTGAACACCTCCAGGAATGGGGCAATCACAGCTTTTCTGAGAACCTTTGCCATGTCCTCACCATCATCATACTGAAAAATAAAGATAAAAATCATGGCAGGCCTTTTCCCAGAATCTYTTCTAAATAGATGTCTCTGGAAATTTTTTAGGGATGCAAGCYCATCCTACCTTTTCTTGCACTTTATTCTTTACTGCACTCTGTTCCTTCCTTAAATCTAACCCCTAGTCCCAAATTCACCCTCCTCACACTCAAATCCACCTTCCAGCCCCAAATCTACTCCCTAATTGCTTCACAGTTCCAAATCTACCCACATCCCAAACCTACTCATCTACTCCCCAGTACAAATCTACCTTCAAATCTGCTTTCCCTCCTCTCCGAGATCCAACTACGCTTCCTTAATCCCAAATCCACATCCCAAGCCCCAAATCCACCCTGTCCAATTGGCCCCTCCTCCCTCCCAGTGGCCTGTCTCACACCAAAAAACCAGAGATATGTTGGCAGTAGCAGGTTTATTCTCAAGTTTTCTTGCACAGGAGCAGGGCAGCCATGGTCAGCTCTAGCGGGAACAAAGCTGTCCCCGGTGTCAAATGGTGCAGTTCCCCTCCCCATAGTGCCGGCACTTCATCACTTTCAGGTAGGTCTCCACCTTGTGCAGGTCCTTCTTGAAGCAGGAGAGCAAGCTGTAATTCTGCAGCAGCGCGTCCTCGCTGCGCAGGTGGATGTCAAATTTCTCGTAAGTGGGTTTGAGGATCTGGGGACCCCACAGGCTTCTGTCCTCCAGCTCCTGCAAGAGGATTGAGAGGTGCTGGGGGAGGTTGTGGGCGCTTGGGARTGAGCATAAGTCACAATAACTTTACACAGTGCTCCAGGCCAGGACAGAGTGGCAGGGAATGACTCTRGGAATACTGGWCAACAGCAGCTGAACATGAGCCCATGTGAGCCCAGGTAGGCAAGAAGCCAATGGCACCTGGCTTGCATTAGCCACAGGGTGKCCAGCAGGACCAGGRCAGTGACTGACCCYTGTCCTGGGCACTGCTGGGGCACCTCCCATCCTGGGGGCAGTTATGGAACACTCCTGACAAGAGAGACACTGAGGTGCTTGAGCACATTTAGAGAAGGGAACAGAGCTGGGGAAGGGTCTGGAGCACCAGGAGCACCTGAAGGAGCTGGGGAGGCTCAGACTGGAGAAAATAAGGCTCAGTGGGGACCTTCTCACTCTCCATAAACCCCTGACAGGAGTGTGGAACTAGGCAGGCATCATGCTCCATTTCCAGGGTACAAGTGGCAGGACTACAGGACACAGCCTCCAGCTGTGCCAGGGGTGTTTCAGGTTGGACATCRGGAAGAATTTATTCACAGAAAGGGTTGTTAAGTGTTGGAAGGAGCTGCCCATGGAGGTAATGGAGTCATTGTCCCTGGACATGTTCAGGTGATGACACTCAGTGCTCTGCTCTGGTTCAAGGCAGTGTTTGATCATGRATTGGACTCAGTAATCTTGGAGGTTTTTTCCAACCTCAGTGATTCTATGATCTTCCACAGGCGCAGTGCCAAGGCTCCCACTGAACTTTAAATGAGGTCAGGRATTTCTCCCTCCAGTCTTAAAGCATATTTCAAACATATTTTTGAGTGTATGTGTTGCAGAAAGGGCAGTGATGCGGGGATGATGCTACAATGAGGAGGGAGCTGGGCAAAATGCTGCAGGGAGGGAGAAGCGTGTCTTTGAGGTATTAAAATACAGGGGAARTTGCAGCATCTCTGTACCTCCTTGRGTCTAGGAGACAGGGAACTGGGCAATAATTCTTTCTTTCCTTCCACTTTCCCAACAAACCAAGCTCTAACCCAGACCCAAGCCATGTGCATTTGGAGCAGAGATCTGCAGTTACCCACTCTTCCTACTCTGCTGTGGTCACCAGCTGCCTTAAACAGGACAGTTCTGGTTGAGAAAAAGTGCCATAAATGGGTGAAATATGATTGTTTGGCTGTTTCTGTGTATGTTTCCTAATGCCCTGATGCCCAAGCACATAGCAAACAGAGACCTTAAAAAACTGTCTCATTCCAACACCCCCKGCCGTRAGCCAGGACACCTTCCACYAGACCAGGCTGCTCCAAGTCCTGTCCTACCCAYCTTTGAACACTTTCAGAGATGGGTGGCCACAGCTTCTCTGGGCAACCTGTGCCACAGCCTCACCACCCTCACAGTAAAGAATTCCTCCCCTCCCTCCCCAAAATCTGGAAGAGSTACTGATACCTATCCCTACTTTCTCCTGCTGAAGTTCTAGGAAAAAAAAAAAGGTTTCTGTTTACTCTCTGAGTAAACAAGAAAAAGTGAAACTCTTGATTTTCAGAGTAATTTCGATGCTGAAAGATGTAAACAATACTCGGGACTCATTTCTCACAGTTGCAGGTCTCAGAGCTCTACCTACTGGCTGAACCTTACAGATAAGCCTAATTACAGAATAAACCTAACTAAAAGGCTGTCCTGGCAGAAAATACACAAGTTCATTTAAAACAACACAGCAAAAATAAAGTAGATTATAAWGGGGACTTACAGAAAATGTGGAGAGTGACTTTTTACGTGGGCAGATAAAGACAGRGCAAGGGGGAATGGTTTTTAACWAAAAGAGGARAGATTTAGATTARGTATGAGGAAGAAATTCTTTTCTGTGAGGATAGCTAGGCCATGGCATGAATTGTCCAGAGGCAACTGCGCCATCCCTGGAAGTGTTCAAGGTCAGGTTGCATGGGGCTTRGAGCAACCTGGTCTAGTGGGAAGAGTCCCTGCCTCTGGTGTGCAGTTGGAACAAGATAAACTCTAAGGTCCTTCCAACCCAGACCATTCAGTGAATCTATGAGTAGTTCTTCCTTGAAGAGGATCACCCCTCAGCTCTCAGCTCTCTGGCTGCTGTATTAATGTATGAGGGAAACACCAGAGGTTTCCATTTGCTCCCACAGATTTTTTTATGTAATGTTGTGAATCCTTACAAAATTTGCTGCATTTTAAAGTATTTTGCATGGAGATGTAGCAAACATTGTTTTGCTGTTAGCACAAGTGAATATGTTTTTGTTGCTGGGTTTTGGARGACTTTGGATGTGAATTGTTGTGATTCCTGATCAATAGTGCTTTGTGATGGGTGTTAACAYCTGTTTTGTGTTTTCTTATCCTCCCTAATGATGAAACCTGAAGTGCACTGTCATGATCTCACTATCTAAAGGTATCCCAAAGATGCCACTGGTGTTCAAAGTGGAAGGTGATAAGATTTCTCATGGTCTTTGGATCCCCAAGATATGAGTACCTGTGTCTGGGAGATCTCTGTAATTCTGTAATCATGCTGTGTGCTGCAACTTACCATCATCAGAGCTTGGATCCCTTCTTCCAGATCCTTTAGTTTTTCATACACTCTGTCTGAAGTGCCAAAAACCAGATTGTTTGTGAACATCTTGCTTAGGTACTGCACTGGGGTCAGCCAGGACTGAATGAGAACCAGGGAAAACCGAAGAAGCTCCATGTCCTGAAATTAAGACAAGAAAGGGTCAAAACTGTGCAGGGGTATTTGGTAGAGTGTCCTGCTCCCTCTGAAACACCTGGAGATGTGCCACCACTCCTGCAGCTTCAGCAAACACAAAGTTTTCAGCCTGGGGAACACCACCCAGACCTGTATCCTGTGCAGACAATAGATTTTCTCATCCTTGGGGTGGGAATATGATTTATAGTGTAGTCCAGAAAAGTATTCCTTCATGCAGGGTTCAGGTAATCAGAAAGGGAAGGGAGGGATGAAACACCCAAATGTTCACAGATGAAAACCTTTTGTTCCTGCAGTGAAGCACAGCTAGGCTCTTCAGGCAGGTCTGTGCCCTGAGAGTGAAAAAAACTTACTGATTTCTGCTGGGCATCGTCCTTCTTCAAGGGAGCAGGAATGGTTTCCGAGTAACAAAATGTTACTTGGGAATTCTTGTTTGTGTGTCTTTGGTCCTCTGGAATATAGGTRTGTTCCTGTGGAGACATTCCAAATACACTCAGATCTGTTGCCTGTATTCTAAAGACCTCAGATACTTCCCAAACTGTTCTGAGTGATTACTCTTTGCAAGAAATAGATGTGAGASGTGAAGTGCCTCTGGACAGGGTTGGCAGGTAGGAAGCAGGAATGTCCTGTCAGCACAATGGCTGCTGAACCTAAAGGTCTTCCTAAGCCAAGAAGCTGAGGTGAACACAAACCACATCTGGACTAGGTTCCCCCAAGGAGTGATGACCCCAAAGGACAGCTCTTGCCAAAGTGGCAGCTTGTGCCATCTCCTGTCAGCAGCAGAACATRGACTGTTTTAAGCACTCAGACTCTCCTAGAGCCACAGACAACTGACACAGGAGAGTCTTGTCACATATCWGTGCCGTGGTCCAGTTGATCCTGTGCAGCCATTGCCCTGAGAAGGGGGGTGTGCAGAATCAGAGCAGGGCAGACAGAGCTGAGAGAAAGAAACAGAGCCCAGTTCCATGGGACACAACCTGTCCTATCCTGTTAACACCCTCTCTCCTCATCGAAAGTGGACAGAGGAGACACCAATAGTTGAAAGGACTCTGTTACATTATCCCAAAGCCATCAAGCTAAAGTGGGGGGAGATGCCCAGAGGCCACACCACTTACAAACTCCTTGTATGTCTCTGCAGCCAGGAGGTGAAGGTGCTGAGCCCTCAGCACAGCATTGGCAAGCAGGCTGGAAAGAGGTATGGTCGGGAAGGTGGCAGCTTGTTGTGGCCACTGCAGTCCCAGAGTGATCATGGCAACAGCAAGAGGAGGGAACCACGACCCTGCAGCAAAGCACATGGAAAGTGTTAGCAGCCCTCAGGAAACTGGACTGAGGAGGGAGTGGCACCTGGGAATTAATTCCCAATCTCTTCTGTMCATGCTGAGGGCTTATCTTCCACCAAGAATAAGTTTAGCCCTCTCCAAAATTCTTTGAAACCCTTTCACTATGATCTGCCCCCTGAGCTTGTGCCTCTCCTAGTGTTACCAGCACCATCTTCCTGGATGGAGTCATGGTTGCTCCATGAAAACTATTGTGTATCCCAATGCTCTTCCCTGACACACTCATATTTTCCCTTTTCTCATGAGTCCTTGCCYATATGAAAAAGCATGGTGCACTCTGGTTACATGAGCAAGCAGAGACTGAGTGCCAGGTGAGCACCTCATTGAATCCGTGCCGCTGATGTGACACTGACTGTCTGCCCTCATTGGAGTGAGAGATGGGGACATTACCTGTGTTCTGACCAGCTCTCTGGGATATGCCTGTAGAATTTGGTGATCTTTGTCAAATCTAAATATTTTTCAGCCTGTGACATCTGATTCACACTAGTGTCTGTGCTACAAAGACCACAAACTTAATCTCTGACAAATACGCCCTGGAAGAGAAAGGTCCTGGAGCCTGTAGAACTTGACCTGTTTAGGCTAAAAATTAATTAGTGGATTAAAGTCACACKGCAGGGAAAAGTATTCTTTTTCATTGGTTTATAAATTACCATACTTTAAGTTAGAGCTGCCACAGAATGTGTGTATCCCACCACATCCCACCCCATCATCTCCTCTCACCCTACACACATGGCARCACTGACAAATCCTTTAAATCTGAAATAAAAAGTACCTGGAGCCATTTCTGCCTGCTGAGTTGCTCAGGTGTTGCTTGACAGTGAATATTTCTTCCTTTCATCTGGCAAAGAAAACTGTTGAGCCACCCTTTATATAGCAGGGGGTCTGTTAAAAATGGATCTATGTGCCTATGATCACAACAACTCTGCATCTTTGTGCATAAATGCACAGGTGTTCACAATGGTGCCACCTCGTAGTCATTTATACACAGATGTACAAGTTGGGAACGTTGTTTGCCTCAGAATGTAATCAGTGCTCAGTGATTTCGCCATATCCCGCTGTTTATTGCAAATGTAAGTTTCCTGGTCATTGGAAGACCCATCCCAATGGGACCAATGCTTTTATATGGTGGCATTTGCTTTTTCCACCTGATTTTCCTGCCTGGCTCTGCAGCCTTGGCTCACAGTTCACAGGCTTGACTGACCAGTTTGGCAGATTTCTGACKTAAAGCAAATGACAAWGTTGTGCCAGGGAAGGTKYAGATTGGATATGAGAGAAAATGTCTTCCTCKAAAGGGTTGTCCAGCCMTRGCACAGAYTGYTCCAGGCAGTGGTGGAATCCCCATTCCTGSAGGGTTTCAAAAGTTTTGTCCAAGTGGCACTTGGAGACATAAATTAGTGGTGGGCTTGGCATTGCTGGGGGAACAGCTGGACTTGGTGATMTCAGAGGGCTTTTCCAACCTAAACAATTCTGRAATTCTGTAATTCTATGATATTTTCCCCTCAATTGTTAGTGGGGATAGAACTGGATGCATGTTGCGAGATTAATCCTATTTTTTTTTCAATTTCTACCAAAATGCCAAATATTCAACAAATAGGATTGCTCAGCTGGTTTCCTGTGGGTRTGACAAAGAGCTGTCATGCCTAGGTGCTTGTTTGGGTTCCAGCCTGCCCATAGCAAATCAAGATGCTTGAGCTGTGGGAGGTTTCTCTCATCCTCAGTCTGTGACCAGATCTGGTTATGAACATCTTCCTACTCACTCCTAAGCACATTAAGCAGAGGGCAGCTGTGGAAAGGAGRTAGAAGAGATAGGGAAGAAAAGATGGGGAAGACAATCRTAGAATCAYGGGRTGGTTTGCCTTGGARGGGATCCTAAAGCTCATCTCGTTCCAATCCCTGCTATGGGACACGTTCCACTAAACCAGGTTGCTCCAAGCCCCATCCAGCCTGGCCTTGAAAAGGGAAGGTCACAGCACACTTATCATTTCCTTGAAACAAAATGAAGCAGAATCTCAGATGGGCAACTACAGAATGCCTTAAAGGCATTCTACTCCTCATAAGGCACCAATTACCCAAAACCACACTGGTCTGAACTTTTGTTAGGAGTTCAGGGTCTGTTTCTGGTTGGGTGGTGATTTGGCTTCCTCAGCCCCTGTGTTTGCCATGCCTCCTGTGTGGGTCCAGTTTCATCCCTGGGGCAGCTGGAGCAGGGGGTGGAGAGCTGGTTAATAAACATGCAAGGGAGAGCATGGTCTGTTCCGAAAAGCCCCCGGGGTGGAGATGTGGTGGTGTCACACGGTAAATGTCAGTCCTTGGAAAAGTGGGAACAGCTATCAGGTGTCCCGCCACCTAATAGCCAGCAACATCTGGTTGTGTTTTTCTACTCCAGATTGTGTTTAAACATGCCAATATTTGTCAGAGATGARCAGAGGAGCAGCATCTCAGCACAACCCACACTCTGCTCCTGTGAATGATGATGAGGTGCTATTGCAGCACCTTACACTCATGTCCTGCTGCCTCTTGCTGTTACTGGCTGGCTCTCTAGCTTTGCYAGTAAAAGCTTGGTGTTAAGTCAATATTTTTTATGTTGCAGCAAAGCATGGAGATGTTGGGATGATCAACCTGTGCAATTCCCCTGAGGCTTGGGTTCTTCCCAATCATTTCTGGGTATTAAATGAAAAAGAAGCATCATAAAGAAGGCAGTGTGTGACTGAAATGTTGGGCTGGGCAAAGGCACACCACTGGCAGAACTGCAGTTGCATAGGCTCTCAGACCTCAACTCAGCATTTTTCTAGATTTCAAAGACAGGCATTTGTAGTGTAAAGTAGCATCTCTTAAAAGCAACATGTCACTGTAATTTCCAAGTTCCTTTTTTTTTTTTAAAGAGAAAAAGACCCACTTCTCTTCAGACATTCCCATGTCCACCCATCTTACCCTCAGCATCTCTATTCAAACAAGTTGCACTGAAGTGAACCAATTATATATACATAAAATTAATTTTAAAATTTTATAAATTCTAAATAACTGGGATTGGAAGGGACCTTACAAATCATCTTTTTACAACCCCAAGCCTCATACATTTTGGCCTCCGATTGATGGGGCAGCCACAACTTCTCTGAACAACCYGTGTCAGGGCCTCACCACCTCACAGGGRAGAATTTCTTCCCAATATCCCATCTAACCATGCCTCCTGTCACTGTGAAGACRTTCCCCCTTGTCTTGTCAGKGTGAAACCATACTTCCTTGTTCAGTCATTACACTGACTTGTGAATTGTCTCTCTCCATCTTTCTTGAAGGCTAAAGAGGCTCAGGACTGCAACTCAGTGCAAAGTTCTCATGTGCAAACCAGCCACCCTTGTTCAACCACCCCTGACTCCAGTTCTCAACCTGTGGAAATGTATGTTACCGTTACATTTTCTGAAAACCATCCTTTTTTTCTGCATCTGTAAATGTTGATTGAAGTTTTTAGCGTGGTTCCTCACTAAGCCAATCTAAAACATGATGTGTTTCTGCTTGACCAATCAGCCTGGAGTTCCACTGCTCATGCTCATTTGCCACATGGATCATTCTCTCTCTTCCCTGCTTCTGCAATTGTTTTTCCATGTTAATTAGCCATAAGAAAAAACATATCCAGMTAAGTGTGCAAAAGCAGTCAGTAAGACTGTATCTGTGGAGTGCAATTTCCCTGCAACTGGCTTGAGGTTGCAGCAAAGGAACCAGATAAAAGGATTTCAGATCCCAGGAATAATCTCTACCCATCTCTTGGGGAATGCCACAGTCACTGCCCATGTCTCAGTTTCTCCATCAATAAAATGATGGTGCTGATACTCATTAGCAACACAGCTGGAAAGCAGGTAATGATTGCAGAGAAACAGGTTAATTAAAAATAAATCTCACCTCTTCTGCTGAAAACAAAGCAAAGMCAGTCAATTTAGTCCCCTTCCAATGATTTTTTAAAAAATCTTTTAAATTGAAATGCAGTAACAGCAGGTTGTCCAGAACAGGCAGTAGCAGGGAATAAAAACACTCTAGGAAGAGTCATTCATTCCCATTTTATCAGTTTCTCTCTCCAGCAGTGGATCTGACACCATCATGTGTCTCCCAGCATGAGCTGCCACTCAGGAACCCTCAACCTTAGCCTTCCTGGGCTGAATTGCTTGGTCAGTCTCCAAATGAATGCACTGTTCTATGGGATGCCAAGGGGTTGGGGAGAGGAGATGCTGAGGCCAAATCTCAGCTCCAGCAGTGCCACAGCTCCCTACAGAGATTCCCAAAACAGCTTATGCTAAAGGTTGCTGCAGGTAGAAATAAGTTTATGGCTCTTGAAAAGCACAGTTTCTAGAGCAATAAACTTATCATTTTATAATCATTAACAAAGTGAGGATTATAAAAATTAATTTAATAAAGATAATTGGTACAATTCTACATTAGCTTTTGGATGCTGATGGTAGCCTGACCAGCCCTTGATGATGTCTCCAGACTTCAGCAATGTATTAATGCACAATAGGCTTGGTTTCTGTTCTGTGAAAAACCYTCTCATGGTTTTATAGTTCATTAGTGATCTATTAACCACAGGTCATCCCCGGATCGGTGCAGCAGAGCCTGTGCTTTACCACATGAGCCGCTTTGCTGACATCTGCTGGTTTCTAAGGCAATTTCATTGATGACGTGTCAGAGCCACAAATCACATCCAAGTGCTATCAAGGAGAGCTAACACTTTTACGATGCTTTTTGCAAGCTGTTCACTCATGGTTTTAGCAACTGAAATGGTCAATCTTGCTTTTATAATCARGAATTCTCCTCCTCTTGAAGGATGAGAGAGAYCAATCTGATTTTTATTTATGCCTCMACCCTCRGGAGGTTTTGCCTGGCAGCCAGTCATGGGACAGACAGCTTCCCCTGCTGCTCTGCAGATGACACAACCTGGTGTTCACTATTGAAAGGAATGATCRATGYCTTTACAAATAAATTATGAGGCTTGTTGGTAGATAAGGCTAGATAGTGATAGGTAAAAGAAGTAATGGGAGAAACTATAAATTTTGTAGGTTTTTTTTATTGATATAGGTTGTTACTTACTCAAAGTAGTGTTAAATCTCTGGACTGAGAGGAAAAGAATAGAGACATTAAGAATAAAAAAAGTAGGGGTGTACATTAGATAGAGTCTGTATTAGGTGATTTGGGGAGTTTGTACTTTTTAAGTACTTCAGCTGATGGAGAAAGAAAGAGGGAAATGTGGCTGAGAAATTAGGATAAAAAGGAGGCTGCGTCTTTTAATAATTTGAGAAATTTTAYAAAAATGTTTTATAACTTCTTTTTKTATTCAAATGAAGTTATGGGACTTTTTTGTTTCTTTTTTGGACATAAATTTCTGGTGTTTGTGGATTTATTTTCCTAACAAATGAGCCTGGGATCGTCCCATTGTCTAGGGATGGTGGGCAGCAAGTGGAGCTGAAGATGTGTGTCACCCAGTTTGGGTGATCAAATCCTCTTGGTGGCAGCCAGCACCGGGCAATTGATTGGGTTCCCAAGACTGTCCAGGTGACAGAGGAGTAATGGACCAGAGGAATCCATGAAGAGTCCACAAGTAAAGACCACTAAAAATCTCACCAGTGAGTAAAATGGAATCTTTAGAGAGCAAACCTGGGAAGGCACCCATAGAGAGAAGCACAAGTAAAGYTGAGAAGAGRCCCCRGCAAAAGGGATGATGRTCCCAAAATACYTCYGAAGAATCCCTTAGGAGAATATCGAGTGGACACCCAAAAGGGGCAGTAAGATAAAGTCAAGAAGAGGTCTCAACAATCCATGCCCAGGGAGGGCAATTAAGAAGAATGTAAAGCCATGTGGTTAAGACAAAGAGCAGCAGGGTGAGGTGCAGAAGTGCAAGACTGGAAGCACAGACTGGGGTCCTGTGGGGCCAGGCTGGGACTGTGGGACAGCTGTGGGCTCAGTGATGGGCAGTCCCTGACCCTGCCATCCCTAAGAAGGATCCCTAAGAAGGGGCAGCAGTGTCCCCTGGCCCCATGTGGCTGTGGGACACCCTGGTCACCTGTGG